ATAAGACCAGGCAACAAATACAAAACTGTGATTTTTGAAGAGGAAAATCAGTTCAGCTCTTTTGCTAGGTTTTTTTTGAATGTACCAGTGAGCCTGCTGTCGGTTAAGTGAGTTCGGCCCCTCTGCGGGGCGACAGCTTTCCAGCTACTCGTCTCGCTGCCCTCGGAGGCAGAGTGAAACACAATGGGGTGTTGTCAGGGCATCCCCGAAGGAGCTCACACACTTCATAACTCCAGCCTTAAATTACACACAACATCAAGTTGGAAGCCGAGGAAATAATAGAAAAACAAGCATCGCGAGAGTGTTCAAGCTGCGGAACAATTTGCATTAAGTTTTGCACACGCTCGTGCACAGGCAGACGAGACCTGTCCCCTCGTCTCCTGCCGCCCGCTACTCCTTAGCAAGGACCATCTCTCACGTGCCTTCAGCATGGTGGCACGGTTGGTCCCCTCTGGGACTTCCCACTGATGTGTGGGGCATGAGAGGCTGCAGTGGGGCTGGGCAGACTGGGTTTGGGCAATGCCAGCTCAACGTACCTGCTCAAACCCTTGTGTCTTCCTCAGATGAAGTCTAGGATATTTGGGTCTCCTCACCTTCTGCCTCTCTAGGTCCCAGGCATCATCCCAAAATGTGATGCGGTGGAGGGGGTCTCCTGTGCCAAAGAAGGCAGCACCCACCCACACCCTTCCAGAGAAACGGAGAGGCATTTGGGTGTTCAGGCACAAGCAGCCTCCCCAATATCACCAGAAAACCTGTCTGCATCCCTGAAGCATCTCCTTGACACAGCCCGTTGGTGTTGAACAACTCTGAAAAGGTGGCAGAGAACTAATCCTTGGGTCACTCCGGATGACAGTTGTGTTGACCGGACAAGTCCTTCCCTCTAGGGAAGAAACAGACCCAGACCCAAAGGGATCTGCTGCTCTTTGAGTGAAGTCCAGAAATGGGACGACGAACAGAGACAAGCAAGAGAAGGGTCTTCACTTGGGCCAAGAGCTACTGGGGCTGAGTCCTGAGAAGGATCTGGATATTCACATTCCAGCAGCTCAGACCCATCCCAATGAGCATCTGCGCAGAGATGTGCGTACACACAACAGCCGGATGGGGTGAACTCCTTTTGCCTCCCCTGCTGAGGCAGGAGAGTGAAATCTGCAGGGTTCTTTTGCCCCATCCCATTCCCTAGCCATCCACCTCCTCTCCAGCCACCTCTGGCTTTCAGTGGGCATATTATGGGTGTTCAGGTTTATAAATGAAGTGGGCATCAACCTCTTGGTGAGTGACTCACCAGGAAGATGCTGGAGGCTGCTCCCCAAAGCCACAAGCAGCACAAGCTTCCCACGGCTCCCTCACCCACCCCACTCACACGCATGTGCCTCTTCCTGGCTTACAGCATGCCCCAGATCACAGATTAGCCTGGTGAGTGGGCGCACATGTTCTCCCAGCTCATGGGATGAGGTCTGTGACCCCCACATAAATCCTGCACAGTGTGACGGATCAGGGGACCACTCACAAGAGCACCGGGGGCATGCACATAGAATCATGGAATCATTATGGTTGGAAGAGACCTCAAAGATCATCAAGTCCAACCGTATACCCGATGCCACCATGCCCACTAAACCATGTCTCCAAGAGCCACATCTAAACGTTTTTTTAACACCTCCAGGGATGGTGACTCCACCACCTCCCTGGGGAGCCCATTCCAATGCCTAACGACTCTTACAGTGAAGAAGTTCTTCCTAATATCCAGCTGGGTCATTTCACTGTTCTGCAATGCAATGCTGCAGATGCAAAATGCAACTGGCAGAGATACGAGCAGCTGCATTACCCAAGAGCATTGCAGCCCCGGTCCCACACCTCTCCCCCCTTCTCCACACTTTCTGTTCTCTCCTCCTGCTTCTGCTCCCTTGCAACAGCAGCAGGGAGGTGAGAAAAGAGGAGCACAGCCACCGCCGTTTCCCCGTCCCATTCCTTCCAGCTGTATTTTTGCACTCCCACACCAAAGAGGGAAGGTGCCGTAATTCCATCAACATAATAAAACACACCAGGAAGAAGAAGGTTTCAGAGCATTTCATTTGTAACCACAGTGCATTTTACATTATTGTATATAAGGCATAGATGGGTGATACATACATCTTCCAGCCATTTCAAACCCCTGAATAACAGAGAGGCGCAGGGAACATTTTGTATAGGTCCTACCTCCTGGCTGGCTTTGGTGGGGAGACAGAACCAAGCTACTGCGGGCCCACAGTCAGGCAAACAGGTGGATGTGGGTGTTCAAGCAGCAATGGACATGGGATTGAGTTGGTGTTTTCAGATGCTCAGACCTGCTTTTACCCTCCACAGTCCCACAGAGTCTCCTTGGCATGAGAATGGGCCCCGCAGCCTGGAGTGGGAGCATGGAGGATTGCGTGCAGGGATGTAACCCTTTCCTTACCCTCACGCAATTGGATGCCCTGGATCCCGCTCTCCCATCACTGACAATCCATTCTGGTTTGTCAGGGAAGAGCTGTTGGTAAGCGCTGGGGAATAAAATATGGTTTCTCACTGGGAGAGACTCTGGAAACGTAACACACGAATGTGTTTTGGTAGGGTTGCTCATCTCTGCTGGGACAGACAGTGGTTGCTGTGATAGGATGGGTGATGAGCATCCAGATATTAGCAGTGTTTTGCATTCAAGCATGGGTCACTCCTCTTTTTGGGGCTCTTGGCACTAAGATTTTGGTTGTGAAATAGGTAGGGGCCACAGAGCAATAATGCCAAGATGGGAAATTTCACAGTCTCTGCAAACCGAAGCAAGGAAGTGAAATAACGGGCCTGATTTCCCACCACAGGTAGCAGAGCAAGGCACGCCAGCACTCAGCAAGATATGCAGACATCCCCTGGCAGAGCTGGGTCATGGTGGAAGAGGTGCAAGGACCAACCACACCAACATTTTTGCAAAATATAAACCCCAAAACTCATGAAGGTGCAAGCACAAAAACTTTTGTCCTCATCTCATCAGATCCTCAGGAAGAAAGCATTACAGAAAATTTGACCAAGACCTGGTAGTTTGATAGTGGCTAATGCTGTGCATGCAAATGAAGCTGGGAGCCTTCTAGGGAAAAAGTGAACAAATGCAAGAAATGAAGGATTTAACTGCCCAAGCTTTTGGGAAAGGGATGCTGGATCAGTCAAACCTCAGCAGCAAGGACAAGTTTTTATAGCTGCATGTTCTCCATGTCAACGACATCATCTTCAGGCAGGGCAGTGAGCTGCCCTGTGCAATCTGGGTGCTGTTATGGTACTGAATAACAGGGGATTTAGTGCCTAGCACACCGCATCCCCATCCAGCAAAGCAATTAGGCGTGTGGGTTTTTTTCCCTGCCGTCCGCTAAGCTGGAGCAGGGCAGGAGCTTACACGAGCGGAGTTTGTCCTGAGAAATTCTGATCCCGCAGGATCACTTTTCACCGCTACTTGCTCTCACATGTCATGCTGAGTAGCAACAGCTCCAGGGGACGAATGAAACCGAGGAAGATGTGTCTTGTCCTGCCGAAGGGCAGCGGGGAAAGATCTGTTTATCATCAGAGGGACCGCAGGAAAAGCTATGCAGTGCTGGGGCAGCGGGACGGCTGTCTGGTAAAGGGACATTTGCTTTCACGCTTGATGCCTCTGTTCCAGGAGATGGTTCTTTGCAGGGTGAAGGGGTGCAGGATGAAAATTTGAGAGTAATGCTGTATTGGTTAGCATCCTCTCATGACATGAGCCAGCACTCTGAAACACTAGCAATCCCCTTAGACCATACTGATTGCAGGAGCAGAGACAGATGGGCAGGAGGAGGGAATAGAAAACAGCAGAAATGTCCCAAAGCTCCCACCCCAGTCCCATCACAGCTGCCATTAGCTCTGTGGGGTATGTCTCATAGTAATTTGTTTGCAAAGCAGAAAGCAAACAAGCCTGCTTCTGAAGGTGCGGGTTATCGGCTTCATCAGCGCCCAGCAGCAGTGAGTTTTGCGGCTTACATCGCAGTCTGTTCTGCTTAAGCATGTTTGGGAGCAGAGGAGAAAAAAAGACTGATATATCCACCAAACTGTAGCTGCAGGGGTTGCACGTAGGAGGAGAGGAGAAAAGCAAAGTCCGCGTGCACTGCTTCGCTCCTGGGATTGCTCTCAGGGCAGGGCTCAGCCCGACCCCGCTTTCTGCCACTGCAGCACTGGGTTGGAAGGGAGGGACGTGGGACTGTAGAGGTGAAAGAGCATCTCAGAGGGAAAACAAGCTCCAAAAAAACCATGAGCCAGACTGTGCGGTCCTTCAGGAGCGCAAAATTCAATGGGAGTTTTGGTTAAGCAGTTACCACCAACTCCTGCCCAGGTTTTGCATCTCAGCCTTTTCCCCCGGTCCTGTATCTTGTGGTTTTTGCTTGCTTTGGAAAGGCAACGAATCAGCCCAGAGTGTCAGGCTGTGCAGCACATTTCATCTTCAGTAGACTTTATACATATATAAACCAGATAATAGACACTGAACGGCAAAGGAAAGCTGAGGTTTGTTCAGAGTGCAAAGAAAAGTGTGCTCAGAATCTGAGAGATTTTGGCTTGCACGTGTTGCTTACGCCAGCATCCCGCGACTCCTTCGCTAAGGTCTGCAACGTGTCTGTAGGCTCATGGGCTACCTATGAAAAGGTCCTTTTCCCCCCCACCCTCTTCACTTTTGCATTGGTATTCAAGCTTTACAAGTCAGAGCAAATTTAAAAAAAAAAAATAAAAGACGACGACAGACAAGGAAGTAAAATAAGAAATATTTCAGAGTAGGTATTGTTTACATGCTGCTTCCAAGGTGAGTGCTGTAGGTGGGATTCTTTGTATTGCGTCAGGGTCAGTTGTATCTTCACTGTGGCAGCAGTCTAGGGCCTGAGTGAGGCTGTTCTTTCTCCATCTCCATCCGCCGATGTGATCCAGCGCAGAGCCACAACCTCTTTTCAAATTCCTGAGGCGGGCACTGGACCTTTCAGGGGTTTTCCAGCACAGCTTCAGTTGAAAGGTTTCACCAGTTTCATAGCAGCGTAGTTCTAGAGGGATGGAAAAACGAGAGAAGGAAAAGCTGATTTGAAGCAGGTACAGCAGGATGGCACATGGGGGTTAAAGTACTTTTTTGGGTACGGCGCAGAACTGCAGACGGGGCTGCATTCAGGGCAGGCGTGATGGCCAAGCCTCCAGCCTGCAGAAACAAGCAAGTAAAAAGTGCATTCCCACTAGCAAGGAGGGTAGAAAGCCCAAGACAAGTGAGAAAATGGGTCTTGCCTTCTTCCAGTAGAGGCTACTGGTCATAAGCATCAAGCAGCAAGCAGCAGGAGTCACTCCTGGACTTTGATTGCTCCTTCCACCCCGTCATACCCTTGTAAGAAATTTGGCACCTCCCCACCAGCACCACCCGAGTGCTCATATGCTTTTTTTGCAGGCGAGGAGACACGTCCAGCTCTTTGCTGAGTTGCTGCAGCCTCCCCCTCTCCTCCAGCTCCCGGTGCCCCTTCCTCTCTGCTCTCCCTTTGTGCCGCTCCCCCACAAACCCTGAGGCTGTATTCACTACCCAAGCCCTGACCTCGCATCCTTATGGCTCCTTCTCCCCACGATCCACCAAAAACCGGTGACCTCATCCTCTCTGCCTGTTGGGTTGGACCCTTTGGAAATGGGCCATGGCACCGGTCCCTGAGCATCCATCAAGCCGTGCCGTGATGTTTTCTGGAGAGCATTGCTTTCCACGGGCCAAAACCTGCACCCAGGATCACGCCAGCAATCAGCTGGTCTGAACAGCAAGAGGATGGTTCTCAAGCCCTGTCCCATCCTGATTTAGTCTCTTAGTACAAACCTAGCCTGCGGGTCCATGGACTATCTCCAAAGAACCTGCCAAAGGCAATCAAGAAAGGCAAACCTATTGCTGAATTTTTTTTCCTCTGCCTCGTCTGCATCCCTTAAGGCCTCAGCCATCCATCTGTTCCAGCATCAGCATTTGGTGTGGTTTTTGGTCCGAAGAGCAGACACCCCAGGCAAGACCGTTCCGTGTCTGCTTTCTGGGATCTCTACCCTCCCTGTTACTGCACGGTGAAGTATGGAAAACGAGGTGTCATGGTATTTCAGCCTGTTATACGTGCAATTCCTTCCTTGAAAGAAGATGACAGCGTTGTGAAAAAGAGTAAGCTGTGTAAACGCTGCTTATCAAGACCACAATGAAAATACAGACGAAGACGGATGCTGAGGTTGTTTGGAAAGAGCTATATTTAAAGTAGCTCTGAGTCAAACCCCCACGACCACATACTAGCCAGTTTGGAAGTCCCTTCCAAGCATATTGAACTTAATTGGTACAGGATGTTCTATCACCCTGCCACTTTGAAAAAACAACTTTGGAAGCAAAGCACAGTGCTAGTTACCAGCAAGATCTTTGGAGGAACGGAGGAAAAAGAAAAAGAAAAAAAAAAAAAAAAAAAAAAAAAAAAAAAAAAAAAAAAACAACAAAAGTAAAGTCTGACCAAAGGCATCTTGATAAATTACAACGCGTAGCAAATTATAAGGCAGTTTGCCAACTGAGGATTTCTAATAATGCCATAAATCAAGCAAGCAAAGTTAGGGCAGTTTACCAGAAGTCATTAGAAAAGCCTCCAGTGACATATAACCTTCGATTTAATTATCCATCCATTTGTCTTTCAGAGTCTATCCTCCAACATACTCCTATTTTTTATGATTTGACTGGTTGCATTCTGGAGGGTAGCAAGTTTTCTGTCCAGCTACGAATTTGTATTAACGAAGTGTTGAAAGCCAAGCAGGATTATCAATCAGCACAGAAAGCGAGCTGTAATTAGAATTAATGGCAATGGAAGCAACGCTGGGCTTGCAGAACACAAACAGAGCTTTAGAAGGTAGTAAACATTTTCATGGTGCTGCAAAGCAGAGTTGACTCCAGCTGGAAGTAGCATTACATTTTTCTATGGTGGTAGAGACTAAAATCTTTACAATAATCACTGCTTCAGGGAGATAACTTCACCTCCGTACTCCCTACGCTTTACAGATGCAGAAACTCAGGTTGGACTTTCATAACCTTTTCTTCGGACCTTGTGTCTAGTCCAAGACTTTCACTCAACCCTTCCCGTAGCAGAAGGCAGACCTCTTCTCAGCTATGGCAGTGTCGGATGAAAAGTCCATCAAAGGCACCGGACCTTTCCAAAAAGCCCCACAGCGTCCCATAAATGAGCACTGCTGGACAGGAGCATAGGGTGGAACTAGAGCATATCTTGTAGAAAGACATTCAGTCTCGATACGTGGACGCCTCGAGCAATGATGAATTTACCACAACCTTTGGCAAATTGTTCCAATGGTTAATTACCCTTCGTCTCAAAAATTAGCATCCTATTTCCACTGGAATAGTTCTTCTAACTTTAACATCCAGCTACTGGATCTCATTATACTTTCATCTGTTCTTTAAGGAGTCTTCTGATGTCAAGTTAAATCTAAGGACAATCTAAGGAAATCATATAGGAAATATCCAGGGAACGCTGCTCCCAGAGACCTAGCCTGTATAGAACGTAATGACAACCACTCTGCAAAGAAAGCTAAGGCAAAGCAGCGAGTAATCCGACACTAAGACTGGGTGGAAAAGCCCAAGTTAAAAAAATGAAGAACCTCAGAATATCAGATTTTCAACATTTTTTCCCATTTCTGTAAAACTAGACAACTTTTTTTATGGAAATTTGCAATACCATGCAGTTCTCCACCCAAAACCAAAAGGCTTTTCAGTTGGAAATGGCCTCTCACCCACTAAAACGAGTTGCTCTGAAACAGTTGCGCTAACGATGACTGATTTCTTATGGACTTGTGCCTAAATTTCCCACACTGCCGTACTCCCAGCTCCCCGCGGATCCTGATGAACCTCCTCTTCATCCCCAAGCACTTCCAGACCCTTCCCCACTTCTGCAGGTCTCCCCCTGCTCCTTCCAGGGACCCCAGATCCCACCAGGGCAGCCACGGCACGTTCCCTGGCTGGAAGACGACTGTCGGTTGCACAAAGCTCTTCTGGAAAAGAGACTTTGAAGGGGACCCGAGAGGAGGAATGGGAAGATCTTTATTCCAGCCCATGATCCATCACACGTGCTCTGTGTCCTGAGGACAGCGGCACCACATCTTCAAAGGTTTCTGATTGCATGAAGTAGCTCCAAAGGCAGAATATTCTGCAATATAGCCTTTAGAAAATACTTCCCTGGGGTGTAAAGCATCTCTTGATGGGTATCCTGAACAAGACCAAGACATCAGCTTCTTTATTCACGGAAAAGCCTGAGCTTTTGGGGATCAATGTTTTTGAGCACTACTGTTGGGAATCGCAGACAGCCCTTCACTGTTTCAAGTGGGAGCAAACAGCTTTCAAACGGGACATTTTGCTCTTACTCTCCAGCTACTCTGACCACAAAGCTGGGACTGTGGTTAGAAGCTTTCAGCACTGTATGGGGCGTATGAATAAATTTTTTAAAATCCCACTTTTGTACCAAGAGCCAATGAAAATGCCCTAGGTTTGTTTCCAGGGGAGATTCCTGTCTGGGATGGAGGGTGACCTATGCAGGGCTAACTGAGCTCATGGGACCGTTACGTTTCCCAGGGCATATTGTGGACAGATATTTGTCAGGTAAAAGGTATCTTCCTCTGGTGTCCACAGGCAGAGTCCAAACAGGACAAGATTTGGAGCCAGGTCTCAGACTTCTCTGGTAGCATCTGGTGCACGGTACACAACGCTCCCAGGTGGAGAGGCTGTGTGCAGGCAGGGATGTTCAACCTGCAGGCAGGACCCAAGGCTCCTGGTGAGCCAAGGACCAGGTGCCTCAAGGCAATGACTGGAAGACCCTGGAGGTCCCAACGAGCAGAAAGCTGTGGAAGAGCTCTTCATGCAAGGCCATTGCAAAAGGGCAACAGAAGCAGGAAAAGAGTAACTTCAGCTCTGTATGGACCCCTTAGCATCTCTGTATCCCTGTTCCTTACCCTCTGCCTGCTCAGACTGGTGGTCCATGTGCCCTAATAGGATTCCCTTGAGGTTTCCCTCCCATCACCCCCCTCTTTGCCCAGGAGCAGGACAGATACAAATCCCTCTACCTGCAGCATGGGACCTCAAATCTGCACGTGTAGCAGCAAGATTACGTATACGATGCTAAACGCAGCAAGGCCCTTATTTTAAACAGGACCTCACGGTGCTCCCAGCACACAAATCAGGATAGAAGTGAGGAGGGTTTGGTTTTTTTCCCATGTGTTTAATCAGGGATGTAATGGTGAGCCCTGCCAAAGGTCAGGATGCCAGGGGCATCCTTCATAGCAAACCTTCACCAGCGTGATTGCCAAATTTAGTGCCTGATGAAACAGGAAAGGAACTAAATCTCCAAGTAGATATAGAACCAGTGACCTCAAAAATCTACGGGAAGATAGCCAAATACATAAAACCAGGAAAATTCCATGAAACATGGCATTACTTTTTCGAAATGTGACTAAAAATTGACCCGACAAAAATGAAATTAAATACAACAACATTTAGCTAGGAAACAGGGAAAAATCCCAAGTAATAATGAGTGTAAATCAATATTTATCGTTTGCAAATTTTTTCTCCTCTCAACATTGGTTTTATACGATGCCACTGGAACGAACGCAAAGCCACTTGCATCTTCAGGGAAACACTGAGTTCTTCTTGGTCAAAAAGGCTTGGTTTCTGCTACTTGATATAAAGAGGAGTCTCCAGGAAAGGCTCCGAGTACAGGGCAGGGAGGAGGCAACGCAGCACAAATCCGCACTTGCACAAGTATTTCCTCCAGAATCGTTTCTCCAGCAGGAGCAGTACCCCAACCCTTCCCATGGATACGAGAACAGAGAGGTGGGGAGAGCCATGATCTAATCTCATCCCCTTTTTTTCTCGGCAGGAACAACCGAGCATGCACGACTTCAAATCATCTGAAAGTGATTATGATGGCGAGGAGAAATTCCACACCTCACTTTTCGGTTGTACACTGCAAGCACACAAAGCCATCTGCAAAAGGCAGCCACGTTCTCTCACATGAAGTTATAAATTAGCCCAACGAGTTCTTTTATAAAAAAAAAAAAAAAAAAGAATTCATGTACAAGGAGCAGAATTTGTTAAGTGCCGGAAAGAGAAAGGCGGGTCATTTTTCTTATCAGTCTGAGAGGAGGGGAAATGGCATCCAAGAGCTGGCATGAATTATTCCAGTGCTGTAGAAACAGAGGAGGATACAAAAACCCATCCTAAGCCAAACTGGAAGGCCAGGGCTCCATTATTTATTTATTTTGTTTTGCCAGTGGAACTGACGGTAAAGCAAGAAAAAGCCACTTTCTTGATTAACGAGGTGAAAACCCTCCCCCTCATTTCAGACATTACATTGGTATAGCGTGCTCCAAGCCTTGATAACAAGAGACAGGGCTGCCCGAACGCCTATAAACTCCCTGCATCTTTAAACAATTACAGACCGATGTGGGGTTTTGCCACTGCTCAGCCCTGTAAAATGGCTGCATTTCTAATTAGGCTGCGTGTTTGTCAGGGATTTTCACACCAACCCTGCAACACCTCCAACATCAGCTGCTTGAATCTCTTTGAAAACAATCAGTTAACCTCAGCGTCGTTAGTCAGAATTGAAACATGGGTGCAAAGAGCCGAGCGCCTTGAGGTGACTCTGCAGCAGAGACCAGAAACACAGACTTTCTTTTTCACCCATCGTGGTCCACCACGTTGTTCCTCAGGGACAAGCATGGAACTTTGCAGCCATGTGCACTGGGACCATCTCTGTCACCGTAGAGACCTGGGGGAACACCTAAGACCTTGACCAGCCCCCCCTGTCCTCTCCCACACCCATCATACCGGGAAGGCATAGATGAAGATCCCCAGGAAGAGCAGCAAAACGAAGAACACGATGGCCAGGATAACCACCCACTTGTATCGCCGCCACAAGATGTACTTCAGGGTCTTGTACGGGGAGGTGAACCATAGGAAGGAGGTTTCCGGGCGCCTGGAGCCAAACAAAATTGAGATCACTTCTGAGTTTCACAGTAGTTTCACCCTCCTGGATCCCCAACCCCATGAGCTTGCCCTGCTGTAACAGGCTGGTTGCTCATCCTGCAAACCCACATCCTTCTGGGTAGACTATGTTAAACGCCCCCCTTGGTGGTCCAGACCAGCTTCCCAGCCACCCTGGATTGTCTCAGCTCGTACAGTCTGAGCATCAGCAGTTCAGAAACACAGCCTACACAGAAGCACGCCCATTGCAGACGGCAGACCTCAAACGGGGAACCCAGATTTTCACTTTGCTCCTTGAGAACTCTATGCCCCAGTGGTTACTTTTCCATTCAAGATGCTCTTACTTGGGGTCCTCCAGCTTGGGGTTCATATTTGGTTCATCCCGACCCATACCAGCTGGTCGCTCTTCATGCTCTTGTTCTGCCACAATTTCCAAAGTCATTTCCAATTTGCCCTATACGGGTTAAACAAAAACAAACATATAAGCAAAACAAAACAAAGAAGTGAGAAATGAACGTGTGGTGCAAAATACAGACTGGGGAAAGAAAAACTACTTTGAGCATAACCCAACCACTACCAACAAGGACCATGAGGAACCCAGTAAGGGTGGATTTCATACAGAGCCCTCACCTGCCCACCACAGTGTTCTCAGCAGATACTCCAGGGCATCTCAAATGTCACTGACATCCAAGTTCAGGCAACCAACTCAGGGGTCTTTTGTTGAATGACTTAATTCACTGCCCGGACTCCCTTACCTTTATTGAACAGTCGCCAAAGACTTGAACAGGAGCCCGGACACTTATGTTTAAATGTATCAGTCTGACAGCTGGAACCTTTCCCTGGTACTTGTCACAACACAGTATCATTAAGAATAGATGTGATACAGAGTCAAATTAGGTGGCATGTTCCAAAAACCACAGCCAAAATCCCACAGAACAGATAATTTCTTCTGAGGCATTTGCATGGTGCTGGAAAAATCCTGGAAAACATCCAGCTGACAAAAGCTGGTCCGGTTTATAAAATTTGCAGCCCAAGACTGTATTTCTTGCCCTGGCCATGGCATCCTGCATCGGCTTGACCCAACCATGTCCCTCCTCAATGCTTTAAGGGAGTTCCCCCAAAGAACGCGTGAAGAGGCCACCTTACCGTCAGGATCTTCTTTTGATCCTGCTCAGCAACACAGGGCCACCATCCCTTGACGGTTTTCTGCTCAAAGAGTGACACAAAGCGACTTGAAGACAAGGTCTCATCTACTAGCTCTAAGGAGCACTTCTCAGCGGTCTTGGCAGGTTTGGGCATCCTGTTGAGATCCATCTGAATGGAGCCTGCAAGGAAGAACGTTACTGGGAAGACTTCTCAGTGTAACAAGTCCTTAAAACAGGGACT